TCTATGGCTCTAGGTCGTCTTCGCTTTAGATGTTCTAGGATGGTTCTTCAGTGGTGTAGGTATGACGTAAGCCGTATTGCATCAGGCTTAAGCGGCTTGAAAGTGTTATTGAGCGTCTATGTTGTGTTTTCCAGATTCTTCCGCCGTGAGAAATCTGCTGTGGAACGCAGCGCTCCATTAGCCGATGGCCGGAAGCGGGCAGTGATCTCCGTCGTAGGCGCGCTGATCAGTGACCGGCGAGCGAGAGAGCGTGGAAGCAGACATGGCCTGCAGCGCCTCGGGCAAGGATCAGCGCCGCCCCAGTGATCTCGAACACTCAGATATTCCCGTATATAAGCCGCTCCTTTTGCTCAGTTTCTTGTCGACCCGTCAGTAGCTCTGACGATATCTCAGTCTTGTCTCGCGTGCTGTTTATCGTGCTTGTTGGACCGCAGTGTCCTGCCGAATAAAACTCTTACCGGTAAGAAACCTTGGCACTCCCGCAACACCACTGATTGGCAAGCGGACGTAATTTCCTCTGGGGCTCAAGTGTCGGAGTAGGGCACCCCTGAGTTTGGCAGAGACGTTTGGTGGCCGAGGTCATTGTTGAGTCAGCACGGAAAGGTGAGTCTGGGACGCAGTGCCCAACCGTTCATTCATTGTCATCTCACCAGAGGGAGTACGTCGACTCCCTCCGTCTAGTTCCTTCGGCTTAGGGACGCGTACCTAAGCCTGTCTTCTGCGACATACTTGCTTCCCAGCAAGCAGGTAAGTCCGGTCCGCAGTGACCAACCGATCACACACGCTTCCACTGTGTTACGCTTACGTTGTACCACCCTCAATCGTTGCTCTAATTTCGGGGATTCATCCATCGGTCTCCGTGCCCGTGTTTAATAGGCGGATTGATCCATCTGACCCGGAGGCATTTCTCGGTAACGTACTCTCCTTTACAGTACGATTTGTGGTGAACACACAGCTGTCTAGCATCAAGGACTGCATAATAGCTCGAGGTTGCATTAATCCTGCTCACATGGTGTGTTAGATTCCTGTGTGATGGATTCACTGGCCAGCAGTGGTCCTTTGTGACGAAAGCCGACATCCCCAATCAGAGATAAACAGCTCGAACACGGACGCGTAACAACGGAAAACAGCAAACAGCCGCGTCCACCAACTGCTGGCGGTCGAGGCCGCAGCAGTCGCCTCAGCAGGCCGCAGGGATCGATTGCTTTTTCAGCCTGCTTGGCTTGCTTAGTCACCTTAGCCTCCTCTTTTCGCGTCGATTCGGTTGCGAAAACACCGTGTTGTCGTCGGCTGGCAGTGTCATCATTCGACTAAATTAAAAACCTTTTCTACAAGGTGAAGTCCTGCGCAATGGTCCCAACGACTCCACCCGCAACCGCGCTCTACTGCACTATTTGCCTCGACATTTTCCGTGATCCACGAATCCTGTCCGCTTGTGGACACTCGTTTTGTTCGGAGTGCGTGCAGCAGATCATCACGAACGGTACTCCCGGTGGCAACGTTAAGTGTCCCGAATGTCGCAGTCTTTCGCCGGTGACTGCGGAAGGGTTTCCAAAGAACTACAAGCTGGCAGGTAAGCTCGCGGCAAGCGGAAAACAATATCGTAGATACGTTTTCGCCACATAATGGGGTGGGGCTTCCCTACTCTGGGATAGACCCACTACTAGGTACGCTTTTTATGGGGTTCCGTACTTGTTTTAAAACAATGGCGCTTGGCGGAAAAAGGCACGCACATCTCGGAGCAATTGTGTAACCTGGTCTTTTTGCAGAGCTTGTGGCGACTATGGACGCCGCAGGATATCGCCAAACATCCCAATGCTGCGGTTGCCGCTCGCATGTGCCAAACCGACGGCTCCACTGGTGCCTGACCTGCGCCACTGAGGTACAATTACCCAAGTACACTATCACCAACGGCTTTAAGGACCCTGTGACGCTCTGCGCGGACTGTGCTCTTCATTCCCACAAGGATCACGACCTGACGCCGTTCGTGGACGAGGGCAAGGTCGTCGTCGCGACGCGTCAAGCGCCGAGCTACGCAAGCTCCCCGACAGCTGTCGTCGTCGTCATAGACGTAAGCGAATGCAGCGGCGTCGGGTAGATGCACGTACGCGAAGATTCCAGGGTAACAGATCGACTCCGTTCACAGCCTGCGCGATTCGCCAATTGTTGTAAGTGATTTTTTACCATGAAAGAGCTTTACCGTCAAGGTTTTGCTGTACGGTCCGTAGTTACTCCCATCGTCGTTAATATTTGCTAAGCAGTACTGGCGAGACTTGTTCTGGCGGTGGCCTGCAGGCGGCCAATTATCTAGCAGGTCTTCGCGACCCAGAACTACTCCGTAATCGACCCCTAGGCCAGACCTGTGCCCGAGCCTGAACCGGAGCATCCCTATTGTTACGATGTGTTCAGTGGTCCCCCCCCCCCTCTTCTCCCGTGACCAGACCTGAGGATGTTCGGCCCCTCACGGCACTGGGCGAGCACACTGTTTTTAAATAGGTTTTGATCGTGCGAGCTTGCAAGGATCAGTTACCCACCATTTCCAGTTGCTAATTTATTTAATTAAAAATCAAAGACTTTTGTGCTTCCAGGCGGCCGCTTGACAAGTGAGCTCCTGGGCGTGATCGAGTTCATCGTCGCTATGCTCATCATGCTTGGCGTCCTCGCGGCGTTGGCTGCTACAGCCAACGCCGCGTTGCACGTTCTCAAGTCCTCCGGTCGGCTCGACGTCGTCGTACTAATGTCGCTCATTCTCGTTTCCATCGCAATCGCCGCATACTGCCGCAAGGGCCGAAACGCTGACAGTAACGGAGATTAACCGACTGCTCTGCCTTTTTAATGGAGTGCATATATATTTTTGCATATGTAGTGTGTTAACCGAATAAACCATGCTACGTGACTCAGTTATGCCACTCTTGTTCGCTACTAGCAACATTCTTGGGTCGGCTCCAGTCCAAAGGCCGATTCAATACTAATTCGGCAAAACAAAGACATAACACCTAGATATTTGCAATCATACTCTAATTACCAGCAGTAGTTTGGTAAACTGTCGACTATTCTTCAAAGCACTTCGCACATATTAATGTGCATTTCTAAAACGTGAAAGTTCGTAAAAGTTTGCATTTCTCATCGTACTTGCGGTATGCCTATCACCATCGGTTCAGAGCATCCACAGACCAGAGAGAGAGAGATGAGAGAGAGCAGAGAAACATAGTTATGGGGAAGCACGTGCAGTGAGACACTGTTTCTACGCGAATAGGCTAGACCCATGGGCTTACAACAACCAGAGGGTTTAGATTTTCGGCCTTAGCAAAAAGGCCAGCAAAGTGAAGGTACCGGGTAGGTACTAGCACTTTTTGGATCGGAAAAATATCTTCGTAGGTTGAATAGGTACGCTTGTAACTAAGCGAGAACATCACCAATTTAAACATGTTTCCCCGATGTGTGCTTTAGGGGTGGCTTATCTTTGTTTGTTTGTGTTGCCCTTCCGATCTTTGGAAGGGAGCGGTGTGAGTACCATTTCTTTTTGCGGAGGTTGTACCTAGCTCACCACCCATCATAGGTGAGAGGCGGCACTCGTTGCAACAACTTAATAGCACAAACAATTCCACCCTGATGGGTGTACCCATTTGACCGACCGAAAGTGCAGTGGATGGAAGGCTGGGTGAACCTTGGCCGCGGCGGGGATCGAACCCCTGACCGACCGAGCAGAAGACGCAAGAGAGCGCCTTGGACCGCTCGGCCATACGACCAGGTGGCTTATCTTCGAGGTGAGCTTCGATTCGTCGTGGGCTTGCTTTCGAGTAACAATGGTAAGAGCCGTATAAGCGGTGCTGCAAGGCCTGTATGGGTTTCGTGGTCGCGTTTGGATTTGGTTTGCCCATATCGGGGTTGCTTCCGAAACATTTTGAATGGTTTGCCAACGGCACCAGCCGACACACAATGGTTGGTAATTTCATGCTCGACTGGCTCAGGCAGTCGATGGTCACGTGGCAAAAGGGTTGGGTACGTAGGACGCAGACCTTGACTCAGACACTTTATATGCCGGACCTAGTTAATACGTGGTTCGAAGTCGTTTGTGACATTTCGAGAGTGGCTTTGGTTAGTTAAGCAACATCCGCCGCAGCTGTTTGATAATAGTATGAGGGTGTGTCGGAACCGATTCCGATCGGACCAGTCGGTCTGAATATCGAAATACTCAGTCAGACCCAGACAGCAGCTGAGTTGGGAACTCTCTGTTTAAATCTGCCTCTTATCCGAAGCAGTTTTTGGCCATGCGAGCAGTGTTTTCCCGGTTCCGGTTCCGGAACCGGAACCCCTTCAAGTACGGGTTCCCTTGAGGTGGAACCGGAACCCTTCATTTCGGGCTTCTTGGGAACCGGAACCGGAACCGGCAGCGCTCACATAGTTTTGGCTGAAACCGGAACCGGAACCCGTGCCAAAACTTTGCAGGGAACCTTTGGTATATGGGACCGGAACCCGGAACGCACCCTTTTTGATCATAAGGGAACCGGATCCGGAACCCATCAAAAAGGTGGAACCGGGAAAGCATTGCATGCGAGGCCGGTTCTGGCCGCCTGAGACTGACGTACGTAGGCCAGTCAAACGTCACCATTTGCTTGTGCTCGCCGTTGCCATCGTCTCGTGCAAATTTACATTTCTCCGCTTGTGGAGAGCCTTACTTCTCGATTTTTTACAAAACTCATTATGCACGCATTTTAGAATGGTAGAGGAATGCAACCTTTAGCAGCGTCCTTTGCCTTCACGACAAAGATCATTTTGGTCGACCAGCGTCTGCAAAGAATACGTGCAAGGCTCGTCGTTTCGTTCCCCCCCTTCCTTTCTCCGCGGCGGCCGAAGTTCCGGACATCGCTTCCCGCACCAACCGATGTCCTTTCCGCAAACAACGCAGTTGCACGCGAGAGAGACACAACGGGGTGTTTAATGATGCGTCTTCATAATGATGTCGCTCGTGTGGGTACGCTTCAGGGTTCAAACATTCCTCCACCATTGTCAGTAAAATTTTTTTATCAACTATTGCTTTCTTTGTACTTGCACGCGGTTATTGTTCCTGGCTTTCACGGCTCAAATGGTTCTCGGGCGACCAAAGCCGGGATTTACCCTTTGCATACGTGGCGAAAGCTCGATTGCTATGTTTCCCTCAAATCCCAAGAAGTTTCCACTGGTTTTGTTTTTTTGGTCCGAACTCAGTGTTTAGTTCTGCTAATCCATTCATGCACAAGGCTGTCTTCGCGACACTCGCTATCCTCGGGTCATTAGAATTTTGTATACAGATTCTACAAAATTTCTCGAAAGGCCTAGTGACCGTTATCCCAAAGTCTTATGTGGGAAAGCGTATTTTTGGATGCTACAAGGATGGAAATAATCCCGGCTTACCTGAACTAGGTAAAAGTCGTGCATTTCAACGTGTTTTTGATTCATCCACGCACGTGTTCATTTAGAGATGATAGCGGACCTGCGGCTGTGGTCTAAGCGGCCGGTACCGTCGGCAGAAGTGCTTGACGGGAAGCTGATCCGTCTACAAAGACTGGACCTAGCAAAGCATTCCGAAGACCTCTGGAACAATGTCAATAACCGCACAGCCATCGATGACAGCAACTGGCGCTATTACCCTTATGGCCCCTTCGACGATAAGCAAGCGCTTGAGGAATGCCTAAAGGAGGTGATTCACGATGAAGATGCCGTGCCCTATGCCGTCGTCAGTAAGTCGGACGGCAAAGCTCAAGGAGTACTCGCGTACCGATCGGTGGAACCTCAGTTCGGCACCCTTGAGGCAAGTGAGTTCGTGGATTCGGGTCCAGATATTGCAAGCATGGCCGCGGATTTAGCAGCCAGCGCTGGGCAGGACTTGGTCCTGGTTCTGGCCATGGGACTCAAAAAAGTGCCCAGCCCTGTTAGCCACGTAGGGCCAAAGAGCAGGGTTTCGAGGAACTTTTTTGGTGTTGGGTCCCTTTGGTGAAGAAAATTTTTTAAGAAAGTTAGTAAAAAAAATTAAGGTAAAAAGTTAAGGTCGGCAAACCCCGGCCCTTTGGGAGTACAGCCGTACCGTACTGACCCCCCCCCCCC